GAGAGAACTGAAGATAGTGGAATGATGGGTACAGGTCCTAGAGTAGGATTAGAAAGGCAATGCACGAATGAGAAGATGGATGGGGGGAGGATGAGGGCGGGATGTTGACCACGGTAATTGTAAACTTATATGCTATTTAATTGGATTATTAATAGATTTTTGATTTGTATAGTTTTTTTTTGTTTTTTTGGTTTTTTTTTTTTTTTTCGTTTAATTTATTGAGCCCGTGGGGAGTAGAGCCAAGACAGATTTTTTAGTAAATGATTGTGGGCCGTTTTGGGGTGTAGTTGGGAAGTGGATATGATGTAGAGGGGGAGTCACCCACCACCTTTTATTGAGTGCAGAATCTTTGCTTCAATGACATTTACTAAACATTCCTCTTGCTCCGGATTCAGTTTCTTGATATTTGGATTGAACCAGAACAGATTATTTTACTATCACATTCTCCATGGTCCAGAGTTTACACATGGTAAGACCCAGAGTTTACACATGGTAAGACCCAGAGTTTACACATGGTAAGACCCAGACGTACATGTAGGAGATGATCATGGACCAGAGTAAACACATGGTAAGACCAGGATACGGCAACTGAGGTTGTAGACCCAGGAAAGAGGCCGGGTTCATAAGTCTCATTATCACACCATTAAACAGACAATGGGACAACGGGTGAATAGCAATGAACAGACTAAAGCAGGAGGAGGAGAAGATGGTGCTTCAGTTATAATAAATAATCTATATTTATACAGCGCCTTTCACAGACCAAAGTCACAAACTGCTTCACAATTATGGGAATTTAAATCTCACTCCACACAGAGAGAGGCCAGAACTGTTGTACATGTATTTAATGGTGTGGGAAACCGGTGCACCTGGAGGAAACCTGAGCCGCAAACTCCACACAGAAAGGCATCGAACCAAGCAGAAGTACTAAACTGAATTTAAATCCTACACTGGGGTAGTCTTGCACAGTTTTTCCAATGTGGTTTTACTGCAAATGGCAAATTAATTCTTGTATTTTGTATTAAATTTATGAAGGTATGTTTTTATTATTTTTTTCAACTAAAATCAGACTAAACTGTTCCTCTTTGTTGTGACTTAGCAGCGTTCTGTAAATGTTTGATGAAAGTCCCTCTGTCTCCTGTCGTGGGATGCCAGTGATGATGTGCCCTGATGTGCCAGGGCTTTGCGGTTGCCAGGTCTGAAACCTTTCTCAGTAAGCACCTCTCTCCATTTGCCCTCCTCTTTGGCAGAAGTGGGTAATTATTTTTTACAGGGGAAAGAGAAAATACTGCGGAGGGCCGGCTCAAAACACAAACTGAAATTTACATAATATTAGCTGTGATTTGATACTGTTAGACCAGAGAGAGAGACCTGAGAGAGACCAGAGAGAGACCTGAGAGAGACCAGAGAGAGACCAGAGAGAGAGACCAGAGAGAGACCAGAGAGAGAGACCAGAGAGAGACCAGAGAGAGACCTGAGAGAGACCAGAGAGAGACCAGAGAGAGAGACCAGAGAGAGACCAGAGAGAGAGACCAGAGAGAGACCTGAGAGAGACCAGAGAGAGAGACCTGAGAGAGAACAGAGAGAGAGACCAGAGAGAGACCAGAGAGAGACCAGAGAGAGACCAGAGAGAGACCAGAGAGGGACCAGAGAGAGACCAGAGAGAGAGACCTGAGAGAGAACAGAGAGAGAGACCAGAGAGAGACCAGAGAGAGACCAGAGAGAGAACAGAGAGAGACCAGAGAGAGAACAGAGAGAGAGGCCAGAGAGAGACCAGAGAGAGACCAGAGAGAGAACAGAGAGAGACCAGAGAGAGAGACCAGAGAGAGACCAGAGAGAGACCAGAGAGGGACCAGAGAGAGACCAGAGAGAGAGACCTGAGAGAGAACAGAGAGAGAGACCAGAGAGAGACCAGAGAGAGACCAGAGAGAGACCAGAGAGAGACCAGAGAGAGACCAGAGAGAGAGACCAGAGAGAGACCTGAGAGAGACCAGAGAGAGAGACCTGAGAGAGAACAGAGAGAGAGACCAGAGAGAGACCAGAGAGAGACCAGAGAGAGACCAGAGAGAGAGACCAGAGAGAGACCTGAGAGAGACCAGAGAGAGACCAGAGAGAGACCAGAGAGAGACCAGAGAGAGAGACCAGAGAGAGACCGGAGAGAGACCAGAGAGAGAGACCAGAGAGAGACCAGAGAGACCAGAGAGAGACCAGAGAGAGACAAGAGAGAGATCAGAGAGAGAGACTAGAGAGAGACCACAGAGAGACCAGAGAGAGAGACTAGAGAGAGACCAGAGAGACCATAGAGAGAGAGACCAGAGAGAGGGACCAGAGAGAGAGACCAGAGAGAGACCAGAGAGAAAGACCAGAGAGAGACCAGAGAGAGACAAGAGAGAGACACTAGAGAGTAACCAGAGAGAGAGACCAGAGAGAGACCAGAGAGAGAGGCCAGAGAGAGACCAGAGAGAGGGACCAGAGAGAGACCAGAGAGACCATAGAGAGAGAGACCAGAGAGAGGGACCAGAGAGAGAGACCAGAGAGAGACCAGAGAGAAAGACCAGAGAGAGACCAGAGAGAGACAAGAGAGAGACAAGAGAGAGACACTAGAGAGAGAGGCCAGAGAGAGACCAGAGAGCGGCCAGAGAGAGAGACCAGAGAGAGACCAGAGAGAGACTAGAGAGAGAGACCAGAGAGAGACCAATACATATATTTTTGCAGCTCATATAGATAACACACACTTCCACCTTCTCGTGTGAGACAGAAGAGTCCACACAGTTGTCAGTCCAAAGACACATCAACATTTCCACATCAGATTCTTTGACAGGTGTCGTCAGGATTCAAGGCACGTCCGGCGGTGTCTTTGATGTTTCATGCATGTATAGATGTATACGGCCAGAATAATGTATTGTTTTTACTCTGAGACTGTGTGAGGAGAAGCATGAGCGGGAAGAGAAGCCACGACGGAGCTCGCTAATCGCTTTGAACCGTTCTTTTAGATTACTTTGTGGAGGGAGTTAAACAGAGCTGCGTTCCCACCGTAAAAACCTGGAATTACATTTTTATTTTTATTAAACCTAAACTACTGTGAATCCTAGAAGTTGACGAGGCTGAACCATGGATGCAACAAGTGCTTTTAAAAGACTCAGTGGACGAAATGCACTTTATATACAAGCACTGATTTTTTCCAGATGCAATTTTTTTTTAATATTGTGTGAAAACGTCCCTAAACCCTAAAATTATCAAGTTATCATGTGTTTTCAAATAGTAATGAAATTGACCAGATGTCTACAGTCTACAAAAGTTAATAAAAAATATTTTGGAGCGGACCGATAATAAAAATAAACCAATGGGATGAGTTTACTGCCTTCACCCTCTTCCTGTTTCGAGTGCACCGGAGTTATCGGATTTTCTAAAACTTAAAATGGCTGAACAGAAAATGCCAATTTCACGTTTGCTCCACTCTCGCTGTGACAAAGAAAAGAAAATGCTTTGGTGGAGAGGGAGGGGAGGGGGGAGTGGTTTGGTGAAGAGGGAGGGGAGGGGGGAGTGGTTTGGTGAAGAGGGAGGGGAGGGGGAGTGGTTTGGTGAAGAGGGAGGGGAGGGGGGAGTGGTTTGGTGGAGAGGGGAGGGGAGGGGGAGTGGTTTGGTGAAGAGGGAGGGGAGGGGGGAGTGGTTTGGTGGAGAGGGGAGGGGAGGGGGGAGTGGTTTGGTGGAGAGAGGAGGGGAGGGGGAGTGATTTGGTGGAGAGGGAGGGGAGGGGGGAGTGGTTTGGTGGAGAGGGAGGGGAGGGGAGTGGTTTGGTGGAGAGGGGAGGGGAGGGGGGAGTGGTTTCGGAGTTGGTGCTACGGCTAAGCTAACAACATCGCTAACTGCATCTTTAATATAAGCTAAAAATAAGTCTATGAAACCGAACTGAACAAATCCAAAGCCCGGATGAGACCTGGGAGGACCACAAACGTCAGACTCTGCTTCGATCTGCGAGACATTTATTCTTCATAGAAAAACCCAGGACCCTTCACACGAGAACAGTTAAAGGCCAATAAAAGTCTGGGGAACTATGATTATTTGTTTCAAGAAAGGTTGGGCCTTTTTTTCTGTGAAAGTGAAGTCGGGTAAACTTTTTTTGTTTCTGTTGATCCCAGAATCCAGGCTTTCTTCTGAGCGTTCATTCTTCTGCCGTACCACGACCACACAAAAGGAGAGGACCATTTGATTTAGTAAAACCTCTCTCCAAATGTCTAAAACTAGCTAACCCTCTCTACAGATTTTTGAAGCATGATCAAAATTTCCAAGACACCCAAGAGTTTGATCAAAATAACATTCATCTTTAGTTACAACTAAATACTAATACATACATCTCTCTGAGCTCCTGTTTCTCTCAGACTAACTCACACAAATCATATTAAACAATCATATCAAATGTACAAAGGGGAGGAGTATCTGGAGGTGTCATCTTTGGTCCCATGTATGGAAGAAGGAAACTCCAGCTTAGCAACCGTCGTAGCAACACGTCTGCCCGCAAAGCTAATGCTGCAGGAGAAATGCCCGTATAAGGAAATCAGCTCCAGCTTGCTTCTTCAACATTAAAGGACGACTAAACACCTGTGCCCAGCCGGACTCTCTGAAAAGGGCGTTTCCTGAAGGACCGGGGGACAAGAAGGGGGGCTCAGAGTTGGGCGTGGTCTGGGCTGTGATTGACAGCTCGCTTGTCAGTTGTCATTTCTGGCTTAAAGCAATAGTTTACACACCAGAAAGTCTCATTCCACCTTTGTTTACTCACAAAGATAATTGTAGAGCTACACACCTGAACCTAAGACACAGAATTATCTCAGCAGTAGTGGCGGTCAACTGATGTAATTATTTTGTAATCCTCTAGATGTCGCCAGAATACTCCAACCTGCTGCAGGGGCATGTGTGAGACTTGGATGCTTTTATACCACAGGTGCAGAGTGATGTCACACAGCACTTCAGAGCCAATGGAGAGGCCAGGCACCAAATTCAAATGTAGTACCATCGAAAATGTACAGAGGGCGCCACACAGACGGTTGTAGGCTCAAAAGTGAGATAGTATCTAGTTTTCATCAAAATGTCAAAAGAATTATTATCAGGATATGTAGAGAGCACAATAGGAAACATATTTATGAGATAAAAAAGTTGATTTGGGCCAACCTTGTGGAAACGGCAGCACTCTTACTGTACCATCTGTGAGTAAGAGTCAAAAGTGAGACTTATTTTCTTCGTTCATATCATTTTGTTTATAGTTTAAAGCGACCTCCTTTCTGTTGTTCTCAGTGTCTGTCCGTCCAAGGTCTACTCAGTCATCTTGGAGTTAAAAACCTCTATCTCAGTTTTTAATGGTGGAGATGTCCTTGCTCCGGCGCCTCTGTGTCCGTTCACCAGGAAAGGATTTATCTTTAATCCCAAACATGAAAACAAGACGAAGCAGCGCTGATCTCAGAGAGGGAGACTTCACACTGTCACAACGACATCTCTCAGATTCATGGGGCTGAGAATGTTCTTTTTGCCCCTGGATATGTGCGAACAAACAGGTTAGCATCACACAGACCCGATGCCCACATGACTATCGCGGTAATACCATGTGAGGCACTTCGTCTGAACGTGTTTGATTTGATTCGTTTCAAACTTAAAAACAGGAATCAATTATGATACAAACATATATATACGTACATACGAGTAGATAGCACTCTTGTTTCTCAGCAAAAAGGTCCTGGGTTCGAATCCTGGTCGGAAACAGTGCCTTTCTAAGTGGAGTTTGCATGTTCTACTTGTGTGTGTGTAGGTTTCCTCCAGGTGCTCCGGTTTCCCCCTACCACTAAAAACAGGTACGATAGGTTCTGGCTTGTGTGTCCTGTAGGTGACCACGCTCTCTGTGTGGAGTGAGAGACTAATGACCACAATTGTGAACCGCTTTGACTCTGGTCTGTGAAAGGCGCTATATAAATAAACATTACTTACTTACATAACCACACACACATATGTTCCCTCTCTGAAATGAGCGGTGGTTTGTCTTGTTTTCATGTTTGGGATTAAAGATAAATCCTTTTGTGGTGAATGGACACAGGGACTGGCCTCCTGCTGGGACTCTGAGGAGCACAGGGACTGGCCTCCTGCTGGGACTCTGAGGAGCACAGGGACTGGTCTCCTGCTGGGACTCTGAGGAGCACAGGGACTGGTCTCCTGCTGGGACTCTGAGGAGCACAGGGACTGGTCTCCTGCTGGTCCCAGACTCAGAACTAGACATGAAGAGGCAGCATTTCCACGCAGCTTAAATCTGGAAAAATCTTCCTGGAAATGTGAGACAGGTTTCTTCTCTGACATTGTTCAAACTCAAGTTAAAAAAAGTCCTGTCTAGCTACATACAACCGAGGAACTCCTTTTAAAGATTTATATTTGGATTTTCCCACATTTTGGAAAGAACTGCCCTCGCCACTTTTTGAAATACTCTTCGGTCTTATTTGACGAGCAGATATCACCAGAATGATTGACAGTTGGGACGACCAATAGTCTTGATGATCCACCCGGAAGTAGAAAATCCTCCAATATACCTTTAATGTATCGTGATTATGTATGATGCCTTGTGTGACTGTCTCTATCTTGTTTTGTTCCGCACTTTGAGTTTCCCAAATTGTCCCCAATTTGGGGACAATACAGTTAATGCTATTCTAAACACAAAACGCCTCACAACCCTATACACTATAAACATTCAAATCTATAAATACCTTTTAAAATCGATTAAAAACAAAGATTAACAACACAAGAAATAATAAAACAGAATAAAATTACAAATAATTAAAAACCTTAAAACGTCAGAAATATCAGTTGTATCGACAGCTGCACAACAATCATCTAGTTTCAGATCGACCTCAATCCAATCCTGTCGCCTTTTCTCGAATATAGCACACAAGAAATCCCATAATCCATTGTGCGATACCTTGCTGCTCTGTGTCTCCAGTTGTGGTGTTGTATAGTTGTTGTGTGTGTGTTGTGTGTCCTCTCCGTGAGCTTTGGTCTCTGCAGCACCGGTCAGAGCCAGCATCGTGTCCGCCTCAGTGCATCCTTCATCCCAGCTACGCCCGTGGATCTGCAGCCGTGGATCAGCGCCCGTGGATCAGCGCCCGTGGATCTGCGGCCGTGGATCTGCGCCCGTGGATCTGCAGCCGTGGATCTGCGGCCGTGGATCTGCAGCCGTGGATCAGCGCCCGTGGATCAACGCCCGTGGATCAGCGCCCGTGGATCAGCGCCCGTGGATCAGCGCCCGTGGATCAGCGCCCGTGGATCAGCGCCCGTGGATCTGCGGCCGTGGATCTGCGCCCGTGGATCTGCGGCCGTGGATCTGCGGCCGTGGATCTGCAGACAATACTGAGCCCAGAGCAGGTCCAGGACGACGGCGAAGTCCAACACCGGGAAAAACAACTGGGGTTAAAAATATAACCATCATAAATTCAACAGCGTGTTAGACAGTTTGGAACATAGGCCGTAGCTTTACTCATTAACTGCCATTGACGTAATTGTCTGAGACCCTCTATTGGGATGGGGTTTACTGGACATCAAAAATAGCTAGAAACTAACTTATTTTTGCTGATGAAAGAAGACAATCCAGTCTTTCAGAATCTGGTTTCATTTTTCACATAGTTCTAAGAAATAATATGTGGGTCTTGAGAATCAGTGAAATCATCAAAACGGCTGTCAGTCATTGAGTTAACACTGGGACTCACAGAAATCTCAAAATCGATGTACCTTCTCCTAGCCACAAGGGAGCGCTGTGGGCGTTATGTGACAGGTGCTGCTAGGTTTGCAGGTGAACCGTTTCGTACCCAGTTACGATGGAATTGTATTATGTTTATGTGGATTAATGACCATAGGGACCATTAAAAAGCCTTTATTCCACTATTTGAACTGGGGTTTGTGGAGACACGCATTTGGGAAACGCTTAAATCTTAGCAGCCAGGAGGTGATCCATAGGTAGCATCTTTGTCTATCTCCTCCACACTGCTAGAACTGTTCTTCCTGCACCGCGTGGTCCTCGTTCTACTGTCTGAGTCCTGGATCTATAGTCCGCCAAGAATACATTGAATTTACTTTAACATGTGTGTCAATAGGAGCCAGAGCAACTCTGTTGAAAGACATGAAACTCTTCAGACACATAACGCAGCAGAGACGCCTGTAGCGGTAAACAAACTCAAAGTGATAGAACGTCCTTGGCCGCACCATTTTCTGGTACATTGAGAAACTTTGCAGTTATAAGTGTCTGTGAACCTGACGGCGGAACGCACCTCGCCACAAAACAAGTTTATCACATCGAGCATCGCTCACGACGCAGTGTCAAGGTTTAGGTTTATGTATGTTTTACGTCGGAATCATCAGAACAAAGATGCAGAGCGAGACGGGCCTTCGGTCAGAGGCTTGTGTTGGAAATTAGAGTAGGAAGCAAAGGCGTGGGCGGAATCCTTGAACCGCTGGACACAATCCAACTGTGGAGATGCTTCGGCACAAAATGACAAATGGAAGCGGCTTCTTGAGAAAAATAAGTACATACTGTAAATATAAACGTAAAAAGGTTGTTTAAGGCCACCTTGGGACCTAGTCAAACTGCTCCCACTTATGACTGCTGTCGTTGTGTCCTTGAGCAAGACACTTAACCCCACATTGCCTGAAGCTCCCGCTGAAACACCAAGGCTGTGGCACCACTGACGGAGCAGCCATCTTTCTGTGGACTCCCCCCTGCAGAGGATCAGAGGGACTGGTGCTATGAGCGTTGGGTGCAGCTCTCATTGTCACCCCTCGACCCAGAAATGGACTGATAAAGGGCCAGAAAATGAATGAATGAATGTTTAAGGCTTAGAAGGTTCTTCTAATGAGACAAGAAGAAACTAGTGCTACTTAATTACCACATGTTTCGGTGGTAGACCTCCGCAAGACTCGTGATGACTCTGATCAGCTGTTGTTGCCGGACATGGTCAGTCTGACCCCTGTGGTCCCTGGAGAAGTAAATCCCAAGTGTGAGACAAGGTTAAGGCCCTCTTTTCTCTGAAATCAAGAAGCGGGGAAAACAGACCATCAACAATTGGCTCAGGAAGCCAAAACATGTGGTAATTGATTCATTAAAACTACATTACCTCACTTTATTTTTGTATTCATTACAAAAATCCAATCCATATCCATGCAGTGCTCTGGGATATACGTCCTTTTGAAGAATAAGTAGCGCAGGTTTGTGCTGGTGTGACATTTTATTTTAGATCGCGTTTTCGTGAAACAAGGAAGAGAATTTGTCTCGGGTCCAGATTGTGACCAATCACAGCGCACCACCGGCCCCCACTTTCTTGAGAAAAGCCACAGGTCTGTGGTTAGCACCGACAGCTGAGGTAAACAAGCGGCGGAGGCTAACCTGAAACTTCCCGTGTCTTCGTTACCGGTTACTGCTTACTCAGCGAAACAACCAAAAGAAAGTCTCGTTCCTCCGCGCTTCCCGGTTCTATCCTTCTATGGTCGCGCCATGTTCAAATGTGCGATCCATGTTGTGAGACGCTAGCTCCGTAAACAGCACTTGTGCGGCTGAGACAATGTCTTAAAGTGATTTAGTGCAGCTTTGTGTTAGTAAGTGTGGTGACAGTTTTTGGAGTAATTACATTAAAACCAGCCGCAGCAAATACACGGACGTCAAAGGCCTTTTACCAATGCAGACAACCTTCTGACGCCATGCTGAGCTTTGTGAAGGTCCCTGCTGTCTGTCACACCCCTGTGTCTTTCCGTCTTGCATCTGTATGACCTGCACTTCCACCATTGTCTGTCTGTTCACACCCCATGCCACTGCCACCACAGGGGATGGCGCCGGCGCTTCCTGTGCGCCTCCTCACCGGTGGCCCCCTCCGCTCCGTTGTGGGCGTGACTATCTTTGGTGTGTGTTTTGTATACAGGAAGCTGGGGGCTCTGGCCCCCAGAGCTGGGACATGCTGCTTTTGAGTGGATGTGCTGGCCCTCCGCACTGTGCGTTAACAATAAACTTACGCTTTTGATCAGACAAAGGACCTTTGAGTTTCCTCCTTCATGGGGTATATAATTCTATAACAATTTGGCGTTGCTGGCATGTCTTGGCATGGGATACTTTCGGCGGGACGAGCGGCTTTGTTTGGCCGACCTGGATCACCAGCCTCTGTTCCTTTTTGGAGACAAAGGAGAGCGCGCTCGTCCGCGCACGGAAGGAATCCTTTTGCCACACAAGACCAAAAAGAACCTAATCTGGTGAGTCTTGTCTTTTCATCTGCGTAACGAGCCCAGGGCAGCACTTAAGTGTACACGGGGATTTGTTTATTTATGTATTTTTGGGGTATTTCATTCATTGCCACAGCATAGTCTGTGTGCGGGATTTTTTGGGGGGCTTTTTGTTCTAGATTGAAAACTAGCGGCTGCGCGTTAGTATCGTCCTGTAGGCGACCCTGAAAATTTCTCCAAGTGTCTTCAGCCAGAACCGCTCCATTTCAAGAACGCGCGCTCGCTGGTTGAACCAGCGAGGGGGGAATGGAGCGCCCCAAAGTGGGTAGGAGCAGGGAGAGACTAAGCGGGTTAGGCCCATCGTTCGTGTGACGAAAATTTGGGTAAAAATCAAATATCTTAGAGAATCATCTATGTGTGGCTGCCTAATGGGGCAGGCCTTGAACAGCGTCGGGAATGGAGAAGGATATTAGAAAATTATATTACTGGTGTTGTAGTTGATCACGGGAATATGAAAATGGGTAAAAATCAAGGGTCTTCCTCCGCATTTCCTCCCCTCCACTGTCCTCTGGCCTCAATGCTCCAGCACCCACCCCCCAACCACATGGCATCGCTCGCACAACTCTAGACCCCGCAGTTTGGCCCATCCGCATAGAAAAGAGCGGAAACAAACACACCCTCTGTATCCTAAAATAAACGGGTATTCAAAGATGTGAGACACCGTCCTACGGCCTGAAGAACTGAGATTTATTGCGCCTAATCCTGATCTGGTCTCAACGTAGGGCACAGTGACCAACCACGACCCTCCCGAAAACCCCTTGATATAGTTCCCCCATTTATCTTTGCAACCCAAACAATAAAAGCCAAAAGTACCCTCCGCAAAAAAAACGTTGGGGGTCATTCAATAAATTCACGACTCCAACACCCAACCCTCCAAACCCACTGGCTAAAAACGCTTTGGCTACCTGCCTACTCAGTATTTAGAAAATCCGTTTTTGTTAAACCTGGCACGTTTTTGGTCCTTCACCAACCCTCCATGGACCCCCAACCATGGGCCCTAAAACCCCCTTTGGCTACCTGGGCCTTCCTTCCCGGACTTTTTGAAAAAACTTCCCACAGCCCCCGCGGAAAGAACTGGGTTGCCCTTGTCTTGGGGTTCCAAAAACCGCCTAGAAATCGGGCCGCTTAAAGTGGGGATTATTTTTAGGCATCCGTTGACGTCACACTTTCCCCGCAAGCGACGCTAATTGCATCGGGGTGTTCCCAAAACACTGGGGCCGAGCCTCGCCCAAGCAGCCATCATACATTCCGTCTCTAGGAAACGGCCACTTTGGAGCAGAATATAGAAAAAGGAAGGCATCGAATGGTAATGCATCGTTTTGCCCTTCTTTTTTATTGCCCCAATCCCCCACCCACGGCCCCCCCGCGCATGCCGCAGAAACTCCCGTTGTTTCGGCATTAAAAAAAACATGTAAAACAACAGCTCGGACCCTGCCCTGGAGCTAACATTAATGGGAAAGCACCTGCTTATAAACCTTTTTTTTACCTTTGTGAAGTTTTTTAAAAATGTCCTAAATAGTAAAATTACTGCAATTCTTTTACTGTTTTTTTTTGGAGTTTTTTTTTAAATAAAACACACTACCTTGTTTAATAATAAAAACACAAGACAATACCTTAATTTCCTGCCCACAGATGTGTTTATTTAACCTTGTTATATCCTTGCATGTTAAAATTAAGGCCTCATCCCCACCCCGAAAAAGCTTAAATGCTACGAGGCTAAGTTTCCCATTCGAATTCGGTTATTTTGAACCCAAGAAAAAAAAATCCCAAATGTTGTGATTTTTAAAATCTTTTTTTTTTAGGGAGAAAACAAAACCCACTTGATTAAATATTATAGGCCTACAATCTTGATGAAAGTCCCCCCCCACGTTTTTTATTTTTTTCCCACATAGGAAAAATGCATACACTGCAGCACAAGCACCTGATAGTATATGGCCTTAACACATGTTTATTTTTTTTTTTTCCCTGGTACAATTCCATAAAAAATAATTGTTGCATATAGTTTATTTTTTTTTTTAATCCCACACGAGACTGGGGGAAAACCTGTTTAAAATAATATTTTAACATATGAAAAATTTTTAATTAGAAATAGCCCCCCCCCAAGAATTCATTTATTAAAAGCCCCTTTTCAAACCAAGAGTCCCACCCCCCCCCTAATAAATAGAAACACACATTTATAACAGGAGGTTTTCGTTTGTCATATAATAAGAACATTTGCGAGGACAAAAAGGTCCCCACTTTCCCACAAAACCACAAGGTTTTTTTAAAGGTGGTTATGGAGGTGATGGAGGTGAAGCAGGAGGTGATGAAGGTGAAGCAGGAGGTGATGGAGGTGATGGAGGTGATGAAGGTGAAGCAGGAGGTGATGGAGGTGAAGCAGGAGATGATGGAGGTGAAGCAGGAGGTGATGGCGGTGAAGCAGGAGGTGATGGGGTGAAGCAGGAGGTGATGGAGGTGAAGCAGGAGGTGATGGAGGTGAAGCAGGAGGTGATGAAGGTGAAGCAGGAGGTGATGGAGGTGAAGCAGGAGGTGATGGAGGTGATGGAGGTGATGGAGGTGAAGCAGGAGATGATGGAGGTGAAGCAGGAGGTGATGGAGGTGAAGCAGGAGGTGATGGAGGTGATGGAGGTGAAGCAGGAGATGATGGAGGTGAAGCAGGAGGTGATGGAGGTGAAGCAGGAGGTGATGGAGGTGAAGCAGGAGGTGATGGAGGTGATGGAGGTGATGGAGGTGAAGCAGGAGGTGATGGAGGTGAAGCAGGAGGTGATGGAGGTGAAGCAGGAGGTGATGGAGGTGATGGAGGTGATGGAGGTGAAGCAGGAGGTGATGGAGGTGAAGCAGGAGGTGAAGCTGGAGAAATTATGACCTTAATTTCACCACAAGTCTCTGAAAAAGAAGAACACAAACATCATGCATTAAAACACAGCCCACATTTAGGATTCTTTTTACACTTCATATTCAATTAATACTATTTATTTGGGGCTTTGCAAAAAACTGGTTAAAAATAAAATACAGAAATCCTTACAGTATTTAATATTAGAGGTACAAGCTTCACAGCAGGGGAAACAGAAGAATGATATGATAGAAATATACACAAATAATCACGTTATGAGCATGGCTAACCACTTTAAACCTGTGTTTGTGGAAGTGGGACTTTGTCCTCTGCAAATGTCTTATTCATGACAAACGAAACCTCTGTATAATGTGTGTTTACTATTTATTAGACTATTGTATGAAAAGGGCTTTATAATTATTCTTGGCCTATTCTATAATTTCATATGTCTAATATATACAGTTTTCCCAGTCTCAGTATGGGATTAAAAACGATATGCACAATCTATTTTATATAAATACAGAAAACATGTGTTAGCATACTATAGCTGCTGTGCTGCAGAGTGATTTTCCATGAAAACATGACTCTTTCCTCAGTGTAGCTTTAATATTTAATCAGTGGGTTTGTTTCTCCCTAAAAGATAAAACACAACATGATTTTTCTTGTTCAAAAACCGAATCTGAATGAACTAGCCTCGTAGCATTAGCTTTTCAGGACTGAGCTTATTTACAGCAGATAACAAGGTTAAATACACACATCTGTGGCAGATCTAATTTATGTCTGTGTTTTATCATAACAGTCGTGTTCATAACTCAACAGTAAAGTATAGCAGTACTTACTATAGACATAACTTCACAGTAAAGTATAGCAGTACTTACTATAGACATAACTTCACAGTAAAGTATAGCAGTACTTACTATAGACATAACTTCACAGTAAAGTATAGCAGTACTTACTATAGACATAACTTCACAGTAAAGTATAGCAGTGCTTACTATAGACATAACTTCACAGTAAAGTATAGCAGTGCTTACTATAGACATAACTTCACAGTAAAGTATAGCAGTGCTTACTATAGACATAACTTCACAGTAAAGTATAGCAGTACTTACTATAGACATAACTTCACAGTAAAGTATAGCAGTACTTACTATAGACATAACTTCACAGTAAAGTATAGCAGTACTTACTATAGACATAACTTCACAGTAAAGTATAGCAGTACTTACTATAGACATAACTTCACAGTAAAGTATAGCAGTACTTACTATAGACATAACTTCACAGTAAAGTATAGCAGTACTTACTATAGACATAACTTCACAGTAAAGTATAGCAGTACTTACTATAGACATAACTTCACAGTAAAGTATAGCAGTACTTACTATAGACATAACTTCACAGTAAAGTATAGCAGTACTTACTATAGACATAACTTCACAGTAAAGTATAGTGCTTACCATAATGTTAGCTCCAGCAGCTCCGAGCTGTTGTTTACATGTTAATGCAGAACGGAGTTCTGCGCATGCGCGGCCGTGACTTGGTAAAAAGAAGGCAACGAAGCATACATCAGATGCATCCTTCATATCTGCTCCAAAAGTGGCCGTTTCCATAGAGACAAAGTCATGATGCCTACGCTTGGCGAGCTCGCCAAGTGGTTTTGGACACCCCTGCAATAGCCGTTGCTTGAGGAAGTGACGTCACGAGCCTACATATCTCCCCTACGCGGCCCGATGCCTACCGTTTTGGACACAGTCTATGGTTTGGGTTTTAGATTGTGAGCTTATTGTCTGACCCACTCAGTAACAGAAGGTGGCAGTAATGCTCCACTAGTTGGCTGCCAACCGCCGTAAAACCCAAAGAAGAAGAAGAAGAATGCTGCCCGCCTCTTCCCTTGACCTCCGGCCATGCGGCGGCCACCACACCACCTTTATAATCTCTCTCTGTTATATTGTTTGCAATAAATGGCCCTACAGGGGTTCTGAATATTGGCCGTGGTCTCTTCTCCATCTTTCTAAGTTACGGCCTAGAGCCGGGTCGTAACAAACCGATAAATTTCATTTCATTTCATTTTCAACCCCTTTGTCCATTTCTGGGTCGGGGGGTGGTGGCAATGAGAGCTGCCCCCAACGCTCATAGCACCAGTCCCTCTGATCCTCTGCAGGGGGTGAGTCCACAGGAAGATGGCTGCTCCGTCAGTTGAGAAACAGCCTTGATCTTTCAGTGGGGGCTTCAGGCAACGTGGGGTTAAGTGTCTTGCCCAAGGACACAACGACAGCAGACATTAGTGGGAGCCGATAAGCCGAAACCGATAAATAACCGATAAAAAACTGATAAAAATCCGATAAATATCCGATAAATCATTGATAAATAAAAGATAAATAACTGATAAAAAAACGATAAATATCCGATAAAAACTATTCCAAAGCACTTTATCAAAAGAATATGAACTAAAGATGATTTCCAGGACTTTAAAAACAGGATTAAAAAGTTTAACATGGTCCTCACAGTCTCAGACCCTGGTCCTCACAGTCTCAGACCCTGGTCCTCACAGTCTCAGACCCTGGTCCTCACAGTCTCAGACCCTGGTCCTCACAGTCTCAGACCCTGGTCCTCACAGTCTCAGACCCTGGTCCTCACAGTCTCAGACCCTGGTCCTCACAGACCCTGGTCCTCACAGTCTCAGACCCTGGTCCTCACAGTCTCAGACCCTGGTCCTCACAGTCTCAGACCCTGGTCCTCACAGTCTCAGACCCTGGTCCTCACAGTCCCAGACGCTGGTCCTCACAGACCCTGGTCCTCACAGTCCCAGACCCTGGTCCTCACAGTCTCAGACCCTGGTCCTCACAGTCCCAGACCCTGGTCCTCACAGTCTCAGACCCTGGTCCTCACAGTCACAGACCCTGGTCCTCACAGTCTCAGACCCTGGTCCTCACAGTCACAGACCCTGGTCCTCACAGTCTCAGACCCTGGTCCTCACAGTCTCAGACCCTGGTCCTCACAGTCTCAGACCCTGGGCCTCACAGTCTCAGACCCTGGTCCTCACAGTCACAGACCCTGGTCCTCACAGTCCCAGACCCTGGTCCTCACAGTCACAGACCCTGGTCCTCACAGTCTCAGACCCTGGTCCTCACAGTCCCAGACCCTGGTCCTCACAGTCTCAGACCCTGGTCCTCACAGTCACAGACCCTGGTCCTCACAGTCACAGACCCTGGTCCTCACAGTCTCAGACCCTGGTCCTCACAGTCTCAGACCCTGGTCCTCACAGTCTCAGACCCTGGTCCTCACAGTCTCAGACCCTGGGCCTCACAGTCTCAGACCCTGGTCCTCACAGTCACAGACCCTGGTCCTCACAGTCTCAGACCCTGGCCCTCACAGTCTCAGACCCTGGTCCTCACAGTCCCAGACCCTGGTCCTCACAGTCCCAGACCCTGGTCCTCACAGTCTCAGACCCTGGTCCTCACAGTCACAGACCCTGGTCCTCACAGTCTCAGACCCTGGTCCTCACAGTCTCAGACCCTGGTCCTCACAGTCCCAAACCCTGGTCCTCACAGTCTCAGACCCTGGTCCTCACAGTCTCAGACCCTGGTCCTCACAGTCTCAGACCCTGGTCCTCTCAGACCCTGGTCCTCACAGTCACAGACCCTGGTCCTCACAGACCCTGGTCCTCACAGTCACAGACCCTGGTCCTCACAGTCCCAGACCCTGGTCCTCACAGTCCCAGACCCTGGTCCTCACAGTCCCAGACCCTGGTCCTCACAGTCCCAGACCCTGGTCCTCACAGTCTCAGACCCTGGTCCTCACAGTCCCAGACCCTGGTCCTCACAGTCTCAGACCCTGGTCCTCACAGTCACAGACCCTGGTCCTCACAGTCTCAGACCCTGGTCCTCACAGTCTCAGACCCTGGTCCTCACAGTCCCAGACCCTGGTCCTCTCAGACCCTGGTCCTCACAGTCCCAGACCCTGGTCCTCACAGACCCTGGTCCTCACAGTCCCAGACCCTGGTCCTCACAGACCCTGGTCCTCACAGTCCCAGACCCTGGTCCTCCCAGACCCTGGTCCTCACAGTCCCAGACCCTGGACCTCACAGTCCCAGACCCTGGTCCTCACAGTCCCAGACCCTGGTCCTCACAGTCTCAGACCCTGGTCCTCACAGTCCCAGACCCTGGTCCTCACAGTCTCAGACCCTGGTCCTCACAGTCTCAGACCCTGGTCCTCACAGTCCCAGACCCTGGTCCTCACAGTCTCAGACCCTGGTCCTCACAGTCCCAGACCCTGGTCCTCACAGTCCCAGACCCTGGTCCTCCCAGACCCTGGTCCTCACAGTCCCAGACCCTGGTCCTCACAGTCCCAGACCCTGGTCCTCACAGTCTCAGACCCTGGTCCTCACAGTCTCAGACCCTGGTCCTCACAGTCTCAGACCCTGGTCCTCACAGTCTCAGACCCTGGTCCTCACAGTCTCAGACCCTGGTCCTCACAGTCTCAGACCCTGGTCCTCACAGTCTCAGACCCTGGTCCTCACAGTCTCAGACCCTGGTCCTCACAGTCCCAGACCCTGGTCCTCACAGTCCCAGACCCTGGTCCTCACAGTCTCAGACCCTGGTCCTCACAGTCTCAGACCCTGGTCCTCACAGTCCCAGACCCTGGTCCTCACAGTCCCAGACCCTGGTCCTCACAGTCTCAGACCCTGGTCCTCACAGTCACAGACCCTGGTCCTCACAGACCCTGGTCCTCACAGTCTCAGACCCTGGTCCTCACAGTCCCAGACCCTGGTCCTCACAGTCTCAGACCCTGGTCCTCACAGTCCCAGACCCTGGTCCTCACAGTCCCAGACCCTGGTCCTCACAGTCCCTGGTCCTCACAGTCCCAGACCCTGGTCCTCACAGTCCCAGACCCTGGTCCTCACAGTCTCAGACCCTGGTCCTCACAGTCTCAGACCCTGGTCCTCACAGTCTCAGACCCTGGTCCTCACAGTCTCAGACCCTGGTCCTCACAGTCTCAGACCCTGGTCCTCACAGTCCCAGACCCTGGTCCTCACAGTCTCAGACCCTAGTCCTCACAGTCCCAGAACCTTTGTCAGAATTTTTTTGTGGTCAAACCATATTTGGAGTTGACTATGAGACGACTTTTGTGATTAAACAATGTATTTAACAGTTCTCTCTGTTGCCGCGGTTACTACAACCGTAAACCACACAAAAATACAGCTCTGTTTCAGTGAAAGTCAGAGAAGTGAACTGAGACTGTCAGCTGTGTCTGTGGCAGATGCCACGCAAGCTAATCAGAATCAAAACGCTAAAGCTAATGCTAATGCTAACACTAAGTGAATTTCTACATCGTTCTTAAACATGAGGTTTACTTCCTGTTCCTCAGAGCACTTTGTTTCTCTGTGTGACTCTGCAGTGATTCACGGAGCTGTGGATGTCGCCCAATTTACACTTCGACCGATATCAATATTTATACCGATATATCATGTATCCCTAGTTCCTGGTGTATAGACTCAGTTCCTGGTGTCTCAGTTCCTGGTGTATAGACTCAGTTCCTGGTGTCTCAGTTCCTGGTGTCTCAGACTATATCCACACGAAGACAAAACGCTTATAATTTCAGAAACTTTTTCTGTAAACACAGAGTTAGCTCAGTAAATGTGTGCGTCCATATGAATGTAGTCAATACGCCTGAAAACGCTGTGAAACTATGCCAGACCTGTTGGTGGCGCTGTGACGCAATGACGGGATCAAGCCCAAACTTCCGTGACGGGAACTGGGCATGCGCAGAATTTTGTAAACAGACAACATGGCGAGTGGGCGAGCTGGTACTACATTAGTATGGACGGACGATGAGGTTGAACTGTTGCTTCGGGTCACACTGGATTACAAAACCAACAAGCTACATTGTTGTTGTCATTATTTTCTGAGTGCGGCGCATGCTGCTTTAACAAGAGGCGGGGCGATGACGCGTCTCAGATACATTGCCGAGAGGCAGTAACCACGGAGCAGCATATACAGAGTTTTGAAATCTTTCCACTCTGGGACCTAGTTTCAAAAATGTTCGTTTACACCCCCCCAAAACGCCGGCCTCGTATGGACGATACACTGGATTGATAAAGTATTTTTGCGTTTAGGCCTGAGCTTGACTTCGTGTGGACAGGGCCTCAGTTCCTGGTGTATAGACTCAGTTCCTGGTGTCTCAGTTCCTGGTGTATAGACTCAGTTCCTGGTGTCTCAGTTCCTGGTGTCTCAGTTCCTGGTGTATAGACTCAGTTCCTGGTGTCTCAGTTCCTAGTGTCTCAGTTCCTGGTGTATAGACTCAGTTCCTGGTGTCTCAGTTCCTAGTGTCTCAGTTCCTGGTGTATAGACTCAGTTCCTGGTGTCTCAGTTCCTGGTGTATAGACTCAGTTCCTGGTGTCTCAGTTCCTGGTGTCTCAGTTCCTGGTGTATAGACTCAGTTCCTGGTGTCTCAGTTCCTAGTGTCTCAGTTCCTGGTGTATAGACTCAGTTCCTGGTGTCTCAGTTCCTAGTGTCTCAGTTCCTGGTGTATAGACTCAGTTCCTGGTGTCTCAGTTCCTGGTGTATAGACTCAGTTCCTGGTGTCTCAGTTCCTGGTGTCTCAGTTCCTGGTGTATAGACTCAGTTCCTGGTGTCTCAGTTCCTAGTGTCTCAGTTCCTGGTGTATAGACTCAGTTCCTGCTGTCTCAGTTCCTGGTGTCTCAGTTCCTGGTCTAACTCTCACATATTTCCTCTGGAGTCGTGTTTCTCAGATAACATCCACAAACAGCAGCTCACGGACCACTGGAGTCTAACAGCCTGGAACAGACAGGGGTGAGGGAGGGGGAGGGAGGGGGAGGGAGAGGGAGGGGGGAGCGGGTTGGGCAGGGGGAGAGGGAGGGAGCGAGGGAGGGAGGGAGGGAGAGGGACAGTTCTTGTCCCAACACAGAATGAGAGAAGTTTCTTCTTAGGTCTCTCTGAAGTACCTCTCTGATCTCTGGTCTCCCTCTGGTCTCTCTCTGGTCTCTCTCTCTGGTCTCCCTCTGGTCTCTCTCTGGTCTCTCTCTGGTCCCTCTCTGATCTCTGGTCTCCCTATGGTCTCTCTCTGGTCTCCCTCTGGTCTTTCTCTGGTCTCTCTCTGGTCTCTCTCTGATCTCTGGTCTCCCTCTGGTCCCTCTCTGATCTCTGGTCTCTCTTACGGTTCGGTTACGTTGAACCTACGTAACCACAGTTTGTGGGGTACACTTGCGCGTTGTAATCCCACACCCAACCACATGATGGCGATCTCACAGGAGTTGCCTGAGAAACCAAAGCGGTCCCATTTACGCTGCTGCTTCCTCCTCTTCAGAACAAAAACAAAATGAAGCTGTTTGAGATCATTACATGTGTTTCTACTGTAGGTTTATGTGACCGTTCTAAACTCATCGTTTCAACTCATTTAACTGTGATGCTGTGAATAAAGACACAGTTCTGTTGGAAACATAGTTATTATTATTATATATTATATATATTATTACTATATTACAGTTATTATTATTATATATTATATATATTATTACTATATTACAGTTATTATTATTATATATTATATATATTATTACCATATTACGGTTATTATTATTATATATATTATTACTATATTACAGATATTATTATAATATATTATATATATTATTACCATATTACAGTTATTATTATATATTATATATATTATTACTATATTACAGTTATTATTATTATATATTATTACTATATTACAGATATTACTATTATATATATATATATATTATTACTATATTACAGTTATTATTATTATATATTATAATTTATTACTATATTACAGTTATTATATTATATATTATATATATTATTACTATATTACAGTTATTATTATTATATATTATATATATTATTACTATATTACAGTTATTATCAGTATATATATTATTACTATATTACAGTTATTATTATATATTATATATATTATTACTATATTACAGTTATTATTAAAGTGTTTTCAGCACAAACAGCAAAACAATAAGTGGTAAATATCTGAGACAAACATTAACTATTTATAAGAACAGGAGGAACGCAAGTTATATATATGTTAGATATAAGTTATATATATGTTAGATATAAGTTAGATATAAGTTAGATATATGTTAGATATAAGTTAGATATATGTTAGATATGTTAGATATATGTTAGATATAAGATATTAGATATAAGTTAGATATATGTTAGATATATGTTAGATATAAGTTAGATATATGTTAGATATATGTTATATATATGTTAGATATAAGTTAGATATATGTTAGATATATGTTAGATATAAGTTAGATATATGTTAGATATAAGTTAGATATAAGTTATATATATGTTAGATATAAGTTAGATATAAGTTAGATATATGTTAGATATATGTTAGATATATGTTAGATATATGTTATATATATGTTAGATATATGTTAGATATAAGTTAGATATATGTTAGATATATGTTAGATATAAGTTAGATATATGTTAGATATATGTTAGATATAAGTTAGATATATGTTAGATATAAGTTAGATATATGTTAGATATAAGTTATATATATGTTAGATATATGTTAGATATAAGTTAGATATATGTTATATATATGTTAGATATAAGTTAGATATAATTTAGATATATGTTAGATATATGTTAGATATAAGCTAGATATATGTTAGATACAAGTTAGATAAGCAGGACACCACTGTACACCGAACAGACTTTCAGGACGCAACCACCTTCTCCACCTCCACCAACTCCACCTTTTCCACCTGCACCTTTTCCACTTCTTCCCCACAGGTCCTCACAGAGTCACAGGTCCTCACAGAGTCACAGGTCCTCACAGAGTCACAGGTCCTCCCAGAGTCACAGGTCCTCACAGAGTCACAGGTCCTCCCAGAGTCACAGGTCCTCACAGAGTCACGGGTCCTCCCAGAGTCACAGGTCCTTACAGGTCCTCACAGAGTCAGAAGTCCTCACAGAGTCACAGGTCCTTACAGGTCCTCACAGGTCCTCACAGAGTCACGGGTCCTCCCAGAGTCACAGGTCCTTACAGGTCCTCACAGAGTCACAGGTCCTCACAGAGTCAGAAGTCCTCACAGAGTCACAGGTCCTCACAGAGTCAGAAGTCCTCACAGAGTCACAGGTCCTCACAGAGTCAGAAGTCCTCCCAGAGTCACAGGTCCTCACAGAGTCACGGGTCCTCCCAGAGTCACAGGTCCTTACAGGTCCTCACAGAGTCACAGGTCCTCACAGAGTCAGAAGTCCTCACAGAGTCACAGGTCCTTACAGGTCCTCACAGAGTCAGAAGTCCTCACAGAGTCACAGGTCCTCACAGAGTCAGAAGTCCTAACAGAGTCTCAGGTCCTCACAGAGTCACAGGTCCTTACAGGTCCTCACAGGTCCTCACAGAGTCACAGGTCCTTACAGGTCCTCACAGAGTCACAGGTCCTTACAGGTCCTCACAGAGTCACAGGTCCTTACAGGTCCTCACAGGTCCTCACAGAGTCACAGGTCCTTACAGGTCCTCACAGGTCCTCACAGAGTCACAGGTCCTTACAGGTCCTCACAGAGTCACAGGTCCTCCCAGAGTCACAGGTCCTCCCAGAGTCACAGGTCCTCCCAGAGTCACAGGTCCTCCCAGAGTCACAGGTCCTTACAGGTCCTCCCAGAGTCACAGGTCCTTACAGGTCCTCCCAGAGTCACAGGTCCTCCCAGAGTCACAGGTCCTCACAGAGTCACAGGTCCTCCCAGAGTCACAGGTCCTTACAGGTCCTCCCAGAGTCACAGGTCCTCACAGAGTCAGAAGTCCTCACAGAGTCACAGGTCCTCACAGAGTCAGAAGTCCTCACAGAGTCACAGGTCCTCACAGAGTCAGAAGTCCTCACAGAGTCACAGGTCCTCACAGAGTCACAGGTCCTCACAGAGTCACAGGTCCTCACAGAGTCAGAAGTCCTCACAGAGTCACAGGTCCTCACAGAGTCAGAAGTCCTCACAGAGTCACAGGTCCTCACAGAGTCAGAAGTCCTCACAGAGTCACAGGTCCTCACAGAGTCACAGGTCCATGGTTTTGAGCAGTCAAAGTGACTGTTGTGGGAGTCCCAGGAGGAGGTTCAGGTTCAGACCGTGACAAGTCTGTGAGGGGGTGGAGCCTCCTGGTCTCTGCAGAACTCAGAGATCTCGTCTCGTCTCAGAGAAACAAACTCCTGAATGATGACGTCATTTCTTCTCAGAATGTTGTGTTTTTTCCAGAAAATCAGGAACAAAAAACAGGACGATGATGTCATCAAAGACATGTGACATCACAACCATAATACATGTTGTGTTAGTAATTAAGGTAATGAAAACCAGAGAAAGACCAGAGATGAGACCAGAGAGAGACCAGAGAGAAACCAGAGAGAGAGACCAGAGAGAGACCTGAGAGAGAAACCAGAGAGAGACCAGAGAGAGACCTGAGAGAGAGACCAGAGAGAGCCCAGAGAGAGACCAGAGAGAGACCAGAGAGAGAGACCAGAGAGAGACCTGAGAGAGAGACCAGAGAGAGAGACCAGAGAGAGACCAGAGAGAGAGACCAGGGAGAGACCAGAGAGAGACCAGAGAGAGAGACCAGAGAGACGGACCAGAGAGAGAGACCAGAGAGACAGACCAGAGAGACAGACCATAGAGAAAGCAGAGAGACAGACCATAGAGAGAGCAGAGAGACCCCCTCTGTTTGCTGCACCGTGGCCTTCGATCGGGGCCAGTCCTGAAGCCGAGAGTTTGAAGAGTTTTTCTGTGTGTTTGAGCTGGAATGTGTTTGATCATTGACTGTTTGTCTTTACTCTCCACAAGTGATATTAATGACACAGAGAGGGGGGGTTTCTCTCATGAGCGTCAGAGCAAACTGTTTAATAATGGATTCATAAAAGAGTCCTGCGTCACAAGAAAAACTATTCATTCAAGGAGTTTGAGTTTCATTCACAACACATGTTTGATCAGAGACCAGAGAGAGACCAGAGAGAGACCAGAGAGAGACCAGAAAGAGACCAGAAAGAGACCAGAAAGAGACCAGAAAGAGACCAGAGAGAGACCAGAGAGAGAGACCAGAGAGAGACCAGAGAGAGACTAGAGAGAGACCAGAGAGAGAGACCAGAGAGAGACCAGAGAGAGAAACCAGAGAGACCAGAGAGAGACCAGCGAGAGACCAGAGAGAGACTAGAGAGAGACCAGAGAGAGACCAGAGAGAGACCAGAGAGAGAGACTAGAGAGAGACCAGAGAGAGAGACTAGAGAGAGACCAGAGAGAGACACTAGAGAGAGAGACCAGAGAGACCAGAGAGAGAGTCTTTAACCAAATCCAACCGATCAATTATCAAAATAGAGGTGAAGCTAATTTCCCGGTTTAAAGCTTGTGGTGTTTCAGATGTAAACAGAGCCATGTTTAGCTGAGATCTGATTGGTTGGTGGCTGCGGCGTGTGACATCACAGGACCTCAGGACATATTTGGAGGTTTGGGGTTTGGACGAGGCCTTAGCATGTGTGCTGCAGAGAGAGACCAGAGGGAGACCAGAGGGAGACCAGAGGGAGACCAGAGGGAGACCAGGGAGAGACCAGAGAGAGACCTGAGGGAGGCCAGAGGGAGACCAGAGAGAGACCAGAGGGAGGCCAGAGGGAGACCAGAGAGAGACCTGAGGGAGGCCAGAGGGAGACCAGAGAGAGACCAGAGAGAGACCAGAGAGAGACCAGAGAGAGACCTGAGGGAGGCCAGAGGGAGACCAGAGAGAGACCAGAGAGAGACCAGAGAGAGACCTGAGGGAGGCCAGAGGGAGACCAGAGAGAGACCAGAGGGAGGCCAGAGGGAGACCAGAGAGAGACCAGAGGGAGACCAGAGGGAGACCAAAGGGAGGCCAGAGGGATGCCAGAGGGAGACCAGAGAGAGACCAGTGAGACCAGAGAGACCAGACCAGAGATACCAGACCAGAGAGAGACCAGAGAGACCAGACCAGAGAGAGACCAGAGAGAGACCAGAGAGAGACCAGAGAGACCAGACCAGAGAGAGACCTGAGAGAGACACTGAGTTCCTGACCCTTCTACATGTTGCCTTCTTCATCTGTTGCCGTTGGTTACCAGTGTTTACAAACACATGTCCCCCTCAGCGGTGACATCAGCGGGAGGCGGCACATTCCTGCTGGAGTTCCCCAAAGAAGATCTCTCCGTACACGCTTTATGATCCTGCTGGGTCTGGTGGTTCTGCTGGTTCTGGTGGTTCTGGTTCTAGCTCCTTTTAGACGTGGGAGATGGTCTCTGTCATTTGTGATTTATCCACATGGTATTTACGGAGCAGATGTCAGAGGTTTGGACATTTATATGAGCTAAACATAACATTTATTATTTAAAATACACGAGAGACCAGAGAGAGACCAGAGAGAGACCAGAGAGAGACCAGAGAGAGACCAGAGACCAGAGAGAGACCAGAGACCAGAGAGAGACCAGAGAGAGAGACCAGAGAGAGACCAGAGAGAGAGACCAGAGAGAGACCAGAGGGAGAGACCAGAGAGAGACCAGAGAGAGACCTGAGAGAGACCAGAGAGAGACCAGAGAGAGACCAGAGAGAGACCAGAGAGACCAGAGAGAGACCAGAGAGAGAGAGACCAGAGAGAGACCAGAGAGAGACCAGAGAGAGAGAGTAGGACCTCAGTAGGAGAGAGAGGGCGGTGAGTTCCTATAAAACAGCAGGCCCCTGCTGAGGCCCCTGCTGAGGCCCCTGCTGAGGCCCCTGCTGTGAGAACACGCTCCTGATATCCATACAAAGACCAAGGACAAAGCATTTCTCCCGTAGCACCCTCTGGTCTCCTGTTACGACCAACAACTTTATTCAATGAGAGGTGTGTGTGTGTCTCTGTGTGTGTGTGTCTCTGTGTGCGTGTGTCTCTGTGTGTGTGTGTCTCTGTATGTGTGTGTCTCTGTGTGCGTGTATTTGTTTGTGTGTATCTGTGTGTATGTGTATCTGTGTGTGTGTGTGTCTGTGTGTATCTGTGTGTCTCTGTGTGTGTGTGTCTCTGTATGTGTGTGTCTCTGTGTGCGTGTATTTGTTTGTGTGTATCTGTGTGTCTGTGTATCTCTGTGTGTATCTGTGTGTGTGTGTCTCTGTGTGTGTTTCTGTTGTGTGTGTGTGTGTGTGTATGTGTGTCTGTGTGTGTGTTGTGTGTCTGTTTGTTGTGTGTGTGTGTGTGTCTGTGTGTGTGTTGTGTGTATCTGTGTGTGTGTTGTGTGTCTGTTGTGTGTCTATGTGTGTGTTGTGCGTGTGTCTGTGTGTGTTGTGTGTGTATCTGTTGTGTGTGTGTATGTTGTATGTGTGTGTATATGTTGTGTGTCGTTGTGTGTTGTGTGTATCTGTTGTGTGTCTGTGTGTGTATCTGTTGTGTGTCTTTGTGTGTGTGTGTGTATCTGTTGTGTGTTTGTGTGTGTGTATCTGTTGTGTGTGTCTGTGTGTGTCTGTGAGTGTGTGTGTGTGTATCTGTTGTGTGTCTGTCTGTTTGAGTGTGTGTGTGTGTGTGTATCTGTTGTGTGTGTGTGTGTGTGTGTATCTGTTGTGTGTCTGTGTGTCTGTGTGAGTGTGTGTGTGTGTTTGTTTGTATCTGTTGTGTGTCTGTGTGTGTGTATCTGTTGTGTGTCTGTGTGTGTATCTTTTGTGTGTTTGTCCGTGTGTGTGTGTATCTTTTGTGTGTCTGTGTATGTGTGTATCTGTTGTGTGTCTGTGTGAGTGTGTTTGTATCTGTTGTGTGTCTGTGTGTGTTTGTATCTGTTGTGTGTCTGTGTGTGTGTATCTGTTGTGTGTCTGTGTGTGTGTATCTGTTGTGTGTCTGTGTGAGTGTGTGTGTGTTTGTTTGTATCTGTTGTGTGTCTGTGTGTGTGTATCTGTTGTGTGTCTGTGTCTGTGTGTGTATCTTTTGTGTGTCTGTCCGTGTGTGTGTGTATCTTTTGTGTGTCTGTGTATGTGTGTATCTGTTGTGTGTCTGTGTGTGTGTGTCTGTGTGAGTGTGTGTGTGTGTTTGTATCTGTTGTGTGTCTGTGTGTGTATCTGTTGTGTGTCTGTGTGTGTATCTGTTGTGTGTCTGTGTGAGTGTTTGTGTTTGTTTGTATCTGTTGTGTGTCTGTGTGTGTGTATCTGTTGTGTGTCTGTGTGTGTTTGTATCTGTTGTGTGTCTGTGTGTGTTTGTATCTGTGTGTGTGTGTATCTGTTGTGTGTCTGTGTGTGTGTGTATCTGTTGTGTGTCTGTGTGTGTGTGTATCTGTTGTGTGTCTGTGTGTGTGTGTGTCTGTTGTGTGTCTGTGTGTGTGTTTGTATCTGTTGTGTGTCTGTGTGTGTGTGTATCTGTTGTGTGT